TTGATGGGTGCAGCACAGCAACATGGCACAAGTATACATATGTAACAAACCTGCACGTTATGCACATGTACCCTAGAACTTAAAGTATAATAATAATAAAAAATAAATAAATAAATTTAAAAAAAAAAAAGAAAGAAAGAAGGGATCATTTTAAGGCATTAGGCATGTAAGGTAATGAGTGACATTACTTGACTTAATTTTTTAGACGATCACTTTGTCTTATATGTTGAAACTAGATGGCCAAGAGGTCCAATTTTGAGGTTATCACAATAAGCCAAGTAAAAGATGATGGTGGCTTGGACCAGGATGATAGCCGAGGAAGTGGTGACAAGTTGTCCACATCTGAATATGTTTTGATGGTACTGCCAAGAAGAGTTCCAGACACATTGCATGTGAAGTGTGAGAGAAAACAACAGACATGGAGACAAGGGCACATAAGTCTTCATTTAAAAAGTTCTAATTTTTTTTAACCAAATCTCTCCTGCTGCTGTCTACACCATGATTTACTATCTTCATCTGTATGAAAAGAAGTTCATGACACCTACACAATGCCCTCTTGTGACTCTGGCAGTAGCCAGAATCATACCATGTGTTATGAAAGAAACCAAACAATGGCTTCTGATCTCAAAAAAGTTCAACATTTGGTACATAAAAATCCCTTGGAAAGGGAGGGAGATATATTTGACAGCATTACTAACATAGCTAGAAGTTGCAGCTTGAGGTTAAACTGTAGCCATTCTGGACACGTCTGCTGAAATGAGGGAACCAAGCCCACCACATGTCCATTGACATGAGTGACAGAGCACCATTTAGGATAGAGTCCATCCCCAATGAAAAGAGAGAATCAGCCACCTGAAGGGAAGACTAACTCTAAGGATGGCATCGTCTCACTACTTGGCTCTGTCCCCAGCTCAGCTCCTTATAAACTCATATCTGGATATCAGGGAAGGGAGAGAAAATTGTGAACAAAAAAAATTTTAAAGGCTGCTTTCATCAAAATTCTCTAAGAGCGGGATTAAAAGCCAACACCATTTTGAGAGCCACTCATGGAAAGTAGCCCAGAAGAGCAGAGACACTTTCCTTCACTTGGCAAAGAGTATGGTATAGCTTTGTCATCTCAAGGATTCCATGCATCAGTGACCATAACTATTAGCACAGGAAGCAGTGTCCTCAGAAGCTCAGGTGTTCATTGCAACAACAGCTCCCTCGGATATGTCAGTGGAATCCAGCAGAAGTGGGGCATTTAAGAGGAATAAAAGAGGTAGACATCACATGTAGCTGACCTCTTCACAGACAAGCACATAAACAAACACATGTGACTCTCAGAAATACTTGTATGAGTTCACCTGCATTATTAGGAGGTAAAAAACAAAGAGCTAGAAAGACTTAAGTTGCCATTATCATTCCTGCCCAGCTCATAATGGTGACAGAATATATTTTTCACACTCCAATTACATATAGCACAATTTTGTGTAATTATGTTTCATAATTAGGTAGTCTATATGCCCTGAAGTTCACAGGTTTGCCACATCTGTTCAATATCTCCAGAACCCAGGTAGATAGCCATTTTTGAGGATATTATAAAAAGAATAAATTCTGCAAAACAGACTATTGTTGTTTTGTAAATTATAAATATGAGAATTTTTTAAAAACAAGCAATCTTCCTAAAAGCAGTCATGTTACAGAAGCAATGGAAAGGCCTGAATGTCTGTACATCCTTTGTCCTGGTGCATTTATTAAGAATATTACTCCATGAAACACTTCAAAAATACTGTTTACCTTCTTTTCACTCCTAAAAGAAATAACATTTCTTATTTAAATACTCCTTAGAAGACCAGCTTTCTTATGAACATTTTATTGGCTTCCAAAAACTGCACCATGTTGAAGAAGCCAAGTTGACTCTGTGTGCCAGTGTGCCAATTTTGCCCACGTTTAATAATTATCTTAATCATGAATTACAATTTGACCTTGGCTCCACACCTCCTCATGCTTGGAGAATATCTCTTTGTTTCTTTATTCATTTATTTGTATTTCTATCCTACTTTCCTTATTTTTTTTTTGAGATGGAGTCTCGCTCTGTCGCCCAGGCTGGAGTGCAGTAGTGCGATCTCTGCTCACTGCAAGCTTCGCCTCCTGGGTTCACGCCATTCTCTTGCCTCAGCCTCCTGAGTAGCTGGGACTACAGGTGCCCGCCACCATGCCTGGCTAATTTTTTTTGGTATTTTAGCAGAGACGAGGTTTCACCATGTTAGCCAGGATGGTCTCGATCTCCTGACCTCGTGATCCACCTGTCTCGGCCTCCCTCTATCCTACTTTCTTTTAAAAAGTCCCTGAAGTGTCTTATACCTCTAATTACAGGTGATGGCAAAGTTAGTCTTACTAGAATTGCAATCATTATTATAAACACAAGGACAGAAGGGAAAGGTCCAGTGAGCATGTCCACACCAGTACTACCCAACTTCCAAGAGCAGAAGATCAGTGTGTGAGGCTCTTTAATGGGTGTGATATGATTATAGTGTACCCAGAAGAAGAGATGGGAAGAGACAAAGAGATTTGGAAGATAAGTGTGATAGGGTTGAAGATCAGTAAAGATCAGGTAAACTCAGTAGGTTCCTGGGGAAAATTGAGCAGTTTCTTTATGCAATATTAGAAGCTGGCAAATTAAACAAGATATCTGTTAGGTCAAAAGCCCTGTGAAAAATCCAATGATGATTACCATCTATTGCCAAACAAGTACACACGATTTAGAAAGAGAACAGAAATTTTGGGACCCACCACCAGCAATTCCAGAAATCACATGCAGAAAGCATCAAAATTAGCTAACTCATAAATGGGACAATATATTATAAACTTCCACAGTTCTGTTGCATATCTTCACTTGTCTTTAGCCAACTCTGTAAATTTCAAATCTTAATACATATTTTCCATTTTCACTGCTGTTCTTTATCCACTGATATCTCAATAAGATGCTCATGTTTAGGAGGTAGGAAGACATAAGCATCAGCTTGGGTGTGGAGAAAGCAAGTGAAACGAATAATTCTCCAGATCAAGACATATTCTGCCAAAAAGCTTTCCATCTTTTTTTTTTTCTGAAAAAGTCTCAATATCTTGTTATATGCTGCTCTGCTCTTGTTTTTCTTTCTTTCCTTTTCTTTTCTTTTCTTTTTTTTTTTTTTTTTTGGAACAATAAAGGCTACAATGTAGTGGCACCAATCATAGCTCACAGTAACCTCAAACTCCTGGGCTTAACCAATCCTCCCTCCTGAGCCTTGTTCTTCTGTTGTCTAGCAGGAAGATGCCAGTATTCACATTATCAGTGAGATCCAGAACTAATGTTCAGCTCAGCACTGCACGTCACTCCCACTTTGGAGTTAGCAAGTCTAGTTTTGTGAAAGTAGGCATATGTGTTTCAAAGTGTGTGTGTGTGTGTGTGTGTGTGAGAGAGAGAGAGAGAGAGAGAGAGAGAGAGAGAGACTTACCTTCCAATGAGTGAGAACTCGCCCACGACACCAAGGCGCCGCATGGCGCTCAGGAGTCCTCGCACTGTCATGCCTTCGCAGAAGCAGACCACCACTCTGGCCTTGGGAAGCCTCTCTCGGAGTTTGCGCAAGAGTCGATCAAAGCTCTTCTCCCCAGCATTGCTGTAGATTTTGTCAGAATGGGCGATGCAGAGGCCTTCCTGGGCAGCCAACTCTTTGAAAGCGTCCATTCCGCTCTCCCCATAATTCCCTGTCCGGAAACAATCAACAGATGTTCAAGACAACTGTGGCAACAACACTACTTACAAAATGGAATAACAACTTGTTAGTCCCAGGAATGGCAAATAATTTGTAAATATAACTGAGACTGAAGGAAGATCTGGATGGATTAAAGAGAGTAATGAAATGTAACCAGATAATCAACTCTGTGGAAATAATGAGAGACAAGCTGAGCTAGGGAACCTATAATGAGACATGTTTTATAAAATGAAGGATTGCTGCCCTATTTTCCAACCATTGTTAACAGTTCTTGTCCCAGATTTTAACCACGTAGGAAAGATCAGTGCATTGGACTAGAGAGGTCAAAGAAACACAAAGAGAAGGACTCTTCATTTGAGGACTTGCTTCAGCTGGCTGCCAGGTTAACAAGCAGCCACTCTTGGTGACATAAAGCCCTGCAACATTTCCACAAAGAATGAGTAAGCAAAATAAATGGAACACCTGGCCAGGCCAGAGATCGGCAGACCAGAAACAGCTATAGGGCCTCGTCAGAATCCACCATCCTCTGACAAAGTGATGGGATTATGAGAGGTTTGTGTCTTATATTATGATTTTTATTTTATAGCATTCTTATAATAAAATACACTTTTAAAAAACTGAAAACTCATAGAAACCAATGAGATAAATATCGCACTTTACAAGTTCCCTGTCTCTCTATTCCACTGATACTTTAGCTCCCATTTTATGAGCCTCTGTGTCTCTATTCCTCTCCCGAAGTTTGGGGATTTTCATATGCATGTGGATGATAGATCTGATACCATGCCCTCATGGTTTCTCAAACTCTCCCCTTCCACTGATGTTTCCTGTAACCAACACAAGTCCAAGGTCACACTTTTGACCTTGTTATCACAGATGTTTCTAATTCCTCTGAATGTGGATGTAAAACATCCGTCTCTGCTACCTCATCTTATCATACAAACTCATATATTCTACTACCCCTACCACAGCACTTCTTCAACCTCATCAAAATTTCAAATCCATTAACCTTCCTATTTTTTCTTTCCATTCTCCCTCTCGTTTCCTTCTTAGCCCAGCTTAGATTTCATAGTCTACCTCTTAATTGCTTCTTGCAAATTCCTTAACTCGTTTGTGTTTTCCTGACATTAATGCTAGTTAAACCCAACCATCTGCCTATTCCATGTCTATACCTGAGCACCTAAACATGACTAAAAAAGACTCATGACCTTGCTGAATGGTTTTATTTAGAATTCATGGGCACACATACCAAAAGGGATATTCAATAGCACAAGGAAATTATACTACATCACCCCTGTAAGTAAACTTTCTTACAGAACAAATTATTTCATTAATTATTAAATATTAAATATTTCATTAATTATTTCATCCATACTCTTCTCTCTTCAAATTTCCAAACCACCAAAACCATTCCCACTCCCCATTTCAACTTGGTCATCATTTCAGATTTCAATAAGAACATAGAAACAATCTATCAAAAACTACTTTTGCCTCCCACTACATCTATAAACATTTCTTCACTGGCATGTATATTATCTATCAACCTTTCTGTTGTAAATTTGAAGTGTGTCTACTCTAGGTTAGAGCCAACCCCTGCTCACGGACCCTAGATCCCATCACTTTTTGTCTGTTCAAGGAGTTTCTCCTACAATTGTTCTCTCTCTTGGATAATCAGTTTATCCCTCCTATCAGTGTCAATCAAAAAGAAAAATACCCCTGACCTCATTGTCCCTCTTGAGTTACTGATTCATTGCTCCTGTTTATAGCAACAATAGTTGCTTAGGTCAATGTATTTGCTTCTTCCATTCTTTCCTTTTTAGCATTTTTTTCTCTTTTTCTTAGTTGACATCTAATTGATATATAAAAACTGTACACGTTTAATGTATACCTCTTGATGAGTTTAGATATAGGCATACCCATCACCTCAGAATCTTCTCTTATCAAAATCTTCTCTTGTCAAGATCAGCAATAATCTCCCTGTTTCCATATCTTGTGATCTGTTGTCTTCATCTTCATCAACCACCCCGTTGCATTCAACAGTTGGCCATACCCTCCTGGAAACATTTTATTCTCTTTATTTCTGTGATACAACCTTCTCCTGTTTTCCTCACTTCACTGGTCACTCCTCAGTATGTTTGTTGGATTTTCTTTCTCTGCTCCAATTTTCATACCAGGACTCAATCCTGAGAAATTTTGTCTTTTTCATCTATACTCTCATCATAAGTACTTCCACTCTGTCACATGCATTCAAATAATATTTGAATGCCACTGTTGAATCCCAAATATTGATCTTCAGACTGAACTGCCCCTGGGATCAAAAGATTGGTTTATTTAATTGCCTACCCAGTGGTATCCACTTACAGACACTTTAACATATCTGAAATAAAATTAGTTCCTTCTCTACCTTGCAAATCTACTTCTTCCAGACATCCATTAGTACATGATGCCATTACCCACCAAGTTGTACAATAACAAAATTTGAGAACTACTTTTATTTCTGTCTTTTTCTCACATTCCAGAACCATTCCTGTAGCCCTTATCTCTAGAGCATTCCTAATCCTTTCTCTTTCCTCTATTTCAGCCTCTACCATTGTAAACTGTGTCTTAGGTTAATATGAAGATTCTTATTCAAGTAATTTATTGAGGAAGAGAAGACAAAGAGAAGCAGGGAGGAACAGTAGGAGGCAGCTAAGCAGAAACATCATTTAAGCTAAAGAATAGCTTCAGGCTGACAACACAATAAAGTGCTAGAGCACATTATACCAGAGAGTTAACCCCACCTCCAGGCAAGGGATCCCCTTGTCGGTCAATCACTGGCTAAGGTCCACAAGAAGGAAGACCAGGTACCACCTCCTAGGAAGCAGGCAACTGGGACTGATAGAAGCCTACTTTCTTGTTTATTTATTTATTTATTTATTTATTTATTTATTTATTTTATTTTTCTCACTCTGTTGTTCAGTCTGATATGCAGTGGCACGATCTCAGCTCACTGCAACCTCTGCCCCCTGGGTTCAAGCAGTTCTCCTGTCTCAGCCTCCTGAGCAGCAGGGACTACAGGCATGTGCCACCGTGCCTGGTTAATTTTTGTATTTTTAGTAGAGACAGGGTTTCACCACATTGGTCTCGAACTCCTGACCTCAGGTGATCAACCTGCCTCAGCCTCTCAAAGTGCTGGGATTACAGGCATGAGCCACAGTGCCTGGTCGATAGACGCCTACTTTCATGGTGGCTAGGAGACTGGCACACCCAGCAGGTAAAGGAAATCTGGGTGGGCCAAGTATAGTATCCTCTACACCAAGTAAATATCAGCTCTTACCCAGACAAGTGCTGTAGGCTTCTGATTGGCCTCCCTGCATCCATTCTTGTTCTCAGTGATTGATTTCACACCTAGCAACCAGAGTAATCTGTGAAGGTATAAATCTGATTTTGTTACTCCTTTACAGAAAGCTCCACTTGCATTCTAACATGCTTGGAATAAAATGGAAACTCCTTCCCCTGGACTACCAGGCTGTGCATGGGCTTCTCCATAAGGCTGGAAAAGGTGATGGAAGGAAAGTGGGAAGAGATGAGGTTGGAGAAATTGGAAGGTTCATCCCAGGAACCTTTTGTCCTTTTCTGTTGGCAGAATACCCCAAGCTCATGCATGCTATTTCCATCACCTGAAAAGATGCTCTTCTACTGGGTGATCTTATCAGTAATATCATGAAAGAAATATCACCTCCTTTGAAAAGCCTTTCTTGATCAGTTAGCTTAAAGCAACCTCTAAGTAAATCCTGGTCATCCCCCATGCTTTTATCTCAATATAGTCATATGTCACTATACCACAGGGATATGTTCTGAGAAATGTGTTGTTAGGTGATATTGTCATTGTGCAAACATTATAGTGTGCTTCCACAAACATAGATGGCATAAGCTACTATACACCTATGGTATATCGAATAGCCTATTTCTCCCAGGCTACAAACCTGAACAGCATGATACTGTACTGAATACTGTAGGCAACTGTAACACAATGGTAAGTATTTGTGTATCTAAACATAGAGAAAGTACAGTAGAAGTACCATATTATAATCTATGGGACCACTATCATATATAGGTGGCCCATTGTTTCCCAAAACGTCATTATATGGTGCGTGACTGTACATATTGCTGATCCGTTTATTTTTCTTTTTTCTCTAGAATGTAATCTACAGGAGAAAATATTCTTATGGCTTTTTCAATGATGTACTCATGATAGTTCTAGATGCTTAAATGCACAGCAAAGGTGCATTTGTTGTATCAGCCCAATAGAAAAATGGGCAAAAGTTATAAACAAAAGCAATTTAAACAAAATAAGTAAAAGTGGGTAACAGGCATATGAAACAAATCACTGAACCATATTTGTTATCAATAGCGTACCTTTAAAATGAAATATTCTTTTTTAACCTATTAGAATGCTAGAAGTTCAAAGATTAATAAGATTCAGTGTTGGCAAGGTATAAGTATATACACTGTTGGTGAAAGTAGTTCTAACTTTTGGTACACAATTTGGTAGTACTTTTCAAATTTTTTAAGATAAATATCAGATAAATGCAGCAATTATTTAAGAAAATAATTGTAAAATGATGACAGTAGTCAGAAAAGACTTGGGACTTAAATGACAACATCTGTAAAAGTTTCACGAGCATTGTAATTAAATCTAATGAGATGTTCTTGTATTTTTTAAAAGAAGCTTTCTTATTTCCTGTTTTATGAGATTAAATGATCAAATTAATGCATTTTTCTCTTAATTCAACCACCTTCAGTGACCTAATTCAGCCCAGTGAAGCCCAAAAGAAGCATTAACACATTACAAAATCCTTAGCTCCAAAGACTGTGGAAACGTGTCACGACTCAAAAGACACGCATTGACTGATGACAAGGGAGAAAACCACACACAGCAGGCCAGCGAATGCCTTATTCATCTGCACAAGAGGGCACGAGGAAGGAAGTCAGATGCCACTTTCTCACAA